CTCCTCCACCCTAGCTGGCTACTACCATGTCTCATAACTCAAATGCCACCTCTATTAAAAGCCATCCGTGGCAACCTTGGTTGGCACACTAAGTGCCAAGTTGTCCCAGGGTGCCAGGGGATGTTTTCAATTTGAGGGAAACAGTTGATACCCAATGTTTGCCAGACACCCAGACAAAAACAGACACAAAAATACAGTAATTGGTCTGAAGGAGCGAAGAAGAATCTCTTGTAGCAACCAGAGCCATCAGAATACACTGCACTCAAGGTGATATTAGCTGTGGCACATGGGTGGGAAGTAGCCAAGAGGGGTTGGTATGCAGGAGAAAAAACTAAGTAGTTAACACTGGCTTCAGAAAGAAGCAGCAGTGTGTGTGTGTGTGTGTGTGTGTGTGTGTGTGTGTGTGTAGTGGGGGGGTGGCGGCGGCAGCAGCAGTAGCAGCAGCAATTAGGATGACTTTTAGTGTTTCATGTTCAGGTGAATTCTGATTTTGCTACAAACACAGTGTTGGCAGATATTAAAGGAAACTTCAAGTCAATTTCAAGAATAGACATTAAATACTTTAAGGAAAAATTTAGAATTCCACTTTTAAAACCAAGATCTATTTATGTAACGTACATTAGGCTTTGCCTGCTGTATAAGGAAGGTGTCAGATTCCCCTGGAACTGGAGTTACAGACAGTTGTGAACTGCCACGTGGATGCTGGGAACTGAACCTGAGTCCTTTGGAGGAGCAGCCAGTGCTCTTGACCTCTGAGCCATCTCTCCAGCCCCAGAATTCCACTTTTTAAAAGACTGACTTTACTTCTAATTATGTGTATACGTGTGTCTGTATGTATGAGCACATGGGTGCCATTGTCCTCAGAATGCACAGAGAGCAATTGGTCCTGGAGCTGGATATAGGCAGTTATGAGCTTCCTGACATGCACCCTGGGAACTGAACTCAGATCTTCTCTAAGATCAGTGTGTACTCATAACTGCTGAGCCATCTCTCCAGCCTCTGGAATTCCACTGTTAGAATGTGAGTGCTCATTTATGTATGTAGGGATAAGTGTTGTGCTCTAAACCTGGCATTCAGATGTCTGGGAGAGGCTGTGGAGATAACATGGCTGGCAAGCACAGGGACCTGAGTTTGATTCCCTGGGACCCACTAAAAAAAGAAAAGCCAGGAGTGGTAGTGTGCTATTCTAATTTCAACACTGGAGAGGTAGAGACAGGAGGATCCCTAGGCTCACTGGTCAGTTAGCCTCACTGAAATGGCAAGTTTCAGGCCAGTGAGAGACCCTCCCCCCCAAAAAAAAGGTGGACAGCATCCAAGGAATGACACCTGGTGCTGTCCTGTGGCCCCCATACACATGTGCATGTCTATACATACACACACACACACACACACACACACACACACACACACACACACACACACCTATTATTAGCACAGTGCACCCCCTCCACACATACACACACATGTATATGCTCACACACCCATGCATAACTGTGGTACATGGAAAGAATCAACTCTGGCATTGGGAGTCCTTTAGGGTAAACTTCACTCAGAGCTCAGGAAGTCCTGCGTCTGGAGGGAGAACTGACACTCCCCAGCTTCCCCCAGGAGCTTTGTGAGATAACGTGTGGGGTGAGGGCTCCACACCAGTCACCCACTGCTTCCTCCTGCGTTATTGGGAGCAGACACAGCACTCAGAAAATTCAGGAGGCCTGCTTCCTGAATCATCTCCAGCTACAGCGGCCATGTGGGAACCATCACCAGGCAGCTTAGTAATTTCTTAGGAAATGAAACTTTGGAAGAGGTTCAAGCAAAAACAAAGAATGAGAGGCTTGAAGAAGAAAAGGAGACAGGAAAGCAGGATTAAAAAAAAAATTTACAGTGTGTGTGTGTGTGTGTGTGTGTGTGTGTGTGTGTGCGCGCGCGAATGTCCTATGGTATGTATGTGGAGGTCAGAGGACAATTCTGTGGAGCTGGTTCTCTTTCCACCTTTAATCTAGTTTCAGGGGTTGAGGAGCAAGCAAATGCCTTTACCTCTGAGCCTTCTCACAAGCCCTAGGATTTTCTTTTCTTCCTATTTTTAAACCGGAAGAAACCCCACCCTCCCCAGGAATAATTTAAAAATCAACGACACAAGATTCCTCCCGTCTCAGTCATCTTCTCCTGAAGAACATGTGGCGTCACTGTAGGAGATGGGCCACACACACTCTTGCCTGGATAAGAAGATGGTGACCGTTCCACACTGAAGATTAAAGTCTCAGAAGGCAAACCGGAGTCAGACTTTGCAAAACCAAACAGTCAACAGTTTCGAGACCACGATGGACTGAAATAAAGTTCAACACAAAACCAAAAGTGGGCCGGGCGTTGGTGGCGCACGCCTTTAATCCCAGCACTCGGGAGGCAGAGCCAGGCGGATCTCTGTGAGTTCGAGGCCAGCCTGGGCTACCAAGTGAGCTCCAGGAAAGGCACAAAGCTACACAGAGAAACCCTGTCTTGAAAAACCAAAAAAAAAAAAAAAAACCAAAAGTGAAGACAAAAATGTACGGATGTGAAGTCTCCCTGTTAGACGCTCACCAGAAGACTGGGAATAGTGCTGTGGTGGCCAGGCCTTCACCTAGCTGGACAGCCAGGCTGTGCACGTGAGCGAAGAGCAGATGGAATGACCAACAGCGAGGCCTCAGGCAAATCAAACCATAACTTGCTGAACTTGGGTGATGCCAAGAAAGTTTAAAACAATTTTCTGGGTTTACGTTGCTACAGTACTAGAACATTCTACCTTGGTTTATAGTGCCACAGATCATACAGTTGAAGTGTTAATCTGATCTTTGAAAATGACTTTGGAAATAAATGTAATCAGGACGCTAAAAGTTAATATAGACCTCTCTATTGTTTCCTAGTTACCACTTCTGCCTTTAAGTCTCATGCAAAGTTTGAATTTTCTGATTCTTGCTGCATTTTAGAGGTTGAGTTGTCTGATTTGGAATTTAATCATATATTGTTCATTAAGGGCAAACATTAGCATCAAGTTTTCTTTTTTTATAGTTTGTTAAATATACTTAACACTAGTAAACATTATGATGGCTAAGACATAAATGTGATGTGTGTGTGTGTGTGTGTGTGTGTGTGTGTGTGTGTGTGTGAAATTTAAAATGCTTATTATATAGACCTGCTCATCAAGATTCATGGAATAAAGCAAATTCTTGTACTTCCGTACTTTATTATGCTTTTAGTTCAATCAAATAGAGTTGCTTGTACTTCGGTACTTTATTATGATTTTCGTTCAATTCAGATAGAATAGAGTTGTTTGCCATGAGTCTGCCCTGTAACCTGACTCCACAGTTATTAAAATGGCTTAGAACACACTGATCTATGATAAAGGAACCCGCCTTCCAGAAACAACCAAACTAAGTTCTGGATGAGCACCAAGGTAGGCAGAGAACCTTCTTCTCTTCCCCTCTGAAACAGGGTCTCACTGTTCCTGAGGCTGGGCTCAAACTCACAATGTAGCCAGGGTTGGTTTTCAGCTCACCGTGGTCCTCTTGCTGCGGTCTGTCAAGTGCTGGGGTTATAAATGTGCACTATGATGCAGCAATCTAATACCTCTATTACAAGTTCAACATCTTAAATATTTGCCAGGACTGAGGAGGTAAGTCTGTTGGTAGAGTGCTTGCCTAGCATGTATGAAGCTCTGGGTTCAGTCTCCAGCACCCCAGAAGCCACGCATGCATGTGATCCGAGAGGCAGAAGGATGAGGAGGTCCGGGAATTCAAGTCAATTTTCAGCTACATCTGGAGTTCAAGGCCAGTCTAGGCTATATGAAACCCTGTCTCAAAGAATTAAAAAAAATAAATAAATAAAAAGGAAAGGGGGATGGTGTGTGTTTGCTTTTCATGTTAATTTAGTTTATAATCATGCGATCAGTTTAGGAACTAAATTTTGAAATAGAATAAAAGAAAGTACAATTCCATTTTGATTTTTGCGAAAAAATTGCATATTATATTCTGATCACACTTTCTCTTCTCAACTCCTCCCAGATCTCTCCCACCTGCCCAACTCCCCTTTCTCTCTATATTTAAACAAACAAAAAAATAGAAACACACACACACAAACATAAAAACTGGAACTAAAATATACAAGCAAAAGGCCAATAAGACAAAAAAATGCTTCAACAAAGCGGTATGAGAAAAAAAGTCCACAAACCCACCATTGACTTCCCTTTGTGTTAGCCAACCACTCCTGGGCATGGGGCCTACCTTGCCATGTGGTTAAATACACTACCCAGTCAGATTCCATCAGAGGGAATTAATTTTTCCTTGGCCAGTGGGAATCAATTGCAGATGGCTTCTTGGTCAGTGGTGGGAGCCTATGTCCACTTCTCCCTCTTGCTCTGGGATCCTACCTGGCTTGAACCTGTGAGAGCCTTGAGTTCATATATACATCAGTCCTGTTTTGTCTGGAAGACTGTTTCCTTGGAGTCATCCATCTCATTTGGCTCTTACAATCTTTTTGCATCCTGTTCTGGATTGATCCCCAAGCCTTGAGGGAAGGGGTTTGATGAAGAAGACATCCTATTTAGGACTGAGTGCCCTGGAATCTCTCTCCCTCTCTGCACATTGTCCAGTTGTAGGTCTCTGTGTTAGTTCCCATCTACCGTGAGAAGCCTCTTGGACAATGGCTGAGTGAGGCACTGGTGTAATTTCTAACTATTCATGTATAAAATAGAAACTCTAACTCTGGAGCTCTGTTTTTGAAATGGGGAAAAAACTGAGCTGTGGAACCAAAGCTAATTACTGCTCTGCATCTGTTCTCAGCTCTGTTTTGCAAAGGACTCTGCAGTCTCTGCCATTATTTAAATGCCCTGGGGGAAAATACAGCATCGGTTCTAAATGAAATAATGGCAGGGGGTGAGGAAGGGTTAAAGGGGTAACACACTCCAGAGAGTCTCAGCCTGAGTCACTCATACGGAAACATCAAGTGTCCACATCCTTTCCCTGCAAAGGCAGGGCAAGTCCCTGCCCACACAGTGCAGGGTGGACATTTCTCAGGCTTCCACTTGCTGCTGGTACATGGAGCAGAGGCAATACCTGCCTGTGCCTCTGCACACTTGATAAATAACGCTCCATAACCGGGTCTCAGGACATCGAGATGAAAGTCCTTATCTTGACTGCTGCTAGGCTGCTGCTTCTGCCGGCCACTTTTTGCCAGAGTGGTGAGTCTTCTTCTGGACTTGGGGATGGGGGAGAGGGGGACCGTTCGTGCTGCAGGAATCAAATGAACCTACTCCTCTTGTCTCCTAAGAACTGGGAACCCAGTGAACCCAGAGGCAGAGTTTGATCTGGGTTATTAAAAGGGAATTCATGGAGGTATCTAAAGTTTGTTGCCAAGCCAAACCTTGTTAAAGATCAATTGTTTTCCACTAGGACTTACACATTTGTGGCAGAGTCGAGACTTTGTGTACAATTAAGTTGGAAAACAATTTTCTTTGTGAGGAGTCTTTGCATTTGTGAATTTTTCTGATTTAGAAAAGATTGTCTATTTTCCCCAAGGGATTAAAAATTTTTTAAATTTATAAATTTTATAATTTCTGTTGAGGCACAGGTGGGGAAAAGTACTGCCACCAAGGGTCATTTGGTTTCAGCAGCTCGTGATGTTAACAGTGTTTCCAAAGTTAAATAGCGTTCTTTTTTTCTTAAGCTTTCAGTACCAGGGAGTTCTTGCTTCCTCCCACCTCCCATGCATATGTGTGTATGTATATACAAATATATATATATATATATATATATATATATGGTATGATTATGCATAATTGGTTATGCATAATTTTAGAAATACGATCTCCCAAATAGAATTCCTTCACCTTAAACATGTCTATTTTATCCATCACAATGTGGTAGCTTATAACTTTCTGCTTGCTCTGAAATGAAGCTTTCAGACAAGATTGCATCCGGAGCTCGCTCTCAGGTCACCGGGGCAATCCACAGTGTTAGGAGGGGGAAATGAGATGAAACCAAAATTCAAGAGAAGGCAACCCTCTGCAAAGGAATGGTCCTTAAGTTGAGGTCCCTGCAGAGTGTTCAAGGGGACCCACGGCAGGGGCTGTCCAAGCAGAGTTTGGACAGGCTTAGGGGTTCTTTGGGAGGGTAAGTAAAAGAGCTGAGCCACAGCTGAAAGGAAATGAGTTACATGAGAGGGTTCCTTCCTGATGCCAGTAACGCTTGGGAGGGGTGGAAAGTGAGCCCTTAAGGAGACGCAGGCCATGGATTCATTCACCCACGGCCACGGGGAGATGTGATGGGAAAATATGTCACCAGGAAGCAGAGGGCCGTTCTCCCTGGATTAGACTCTGAAGGCTTCTCCCAAGCTGAGAACATTTCAGAAACATCACACCAAACAAAACCCAAAGAATTCTTGTTTCTTTATATGAGTAAAACTGAACAAGGAGCATTATTCTTGGGGTTCTGGCTAACAGAAGGCCTAGCTGGAGTCAGACCTGAGATCTCACAGAAACAGTCTCTGCCCGGCACATTTGCAGACACCGAGTCTTGCTCAATCGCAGGATCATCTGAAAACTGACCAACACATGGTTTCATCAGGCTTCTCACCAGGCCTTGGAGGGAAGATATTTGCACACACCATTCTGCCCAACTGGCCAAAGCACTTGTTTTGAGTGATGTCTTGACTTTTCCCAAATGTAAATGTGTAGAAGGATTTACGTGACTGAGCTCAAATGTCACAAGACATTCCTCTAATGCTCACATCTTTTAAAAAAAAGATTTATTTATTTATTTATTAATTATGTATACAGTTTTTTGTCTGCATGTATGCCTGCATGCCAGAAGAGGGGGCCAGATATCATTACAGATGGTTTTGAGCCACCATGTGGTTACTGGGAATTCAACTCAGGACCTCTGGAAGAACAGCCAGTGTTTGTTCCTAACCTCTGAACCATTTCTCCAGCCCTAGTGCTCACATCTTAACACAGATACACGAATGCTACCCTCCAAATGATCTTTTCCTTGAATGACATCACGAGTCATCTTCATACAGCAGTTTTCCTAATGACACTGACCCCCCCCCCCACCTGATATGCTGAATTCAACCTGTACAGACTCCGAGGTCTATCGGAGTTTACACTTGGAAGCAAAGGCTAGAGATGAAGTCAGGGAGAGGAACTGGCTCTGAATGAGGACAGTCCACTGAACATTATCCTTGAGTATTTAAAATGGATGATTCAGGGGTTGTGTCTGGACCTCAGTGGTTAGGATTAGCATTTCAGATTGGAATGTATGAGGTTTAAATTGGCATTTGAGGAACTTGATAACATGAACATGGTAAGTCACACCAAATGTCTATAGCACATAGCTGGTATGTGTCTTTTTTTCTATTTTGGTTTTTGGAGACAGGGTTTTTCTGGGTAGCCCTGGCTGTCCTGGAACTCACTATGTAGACCAGGCTGGCCTCAAACTCAAAGAGATCTGCCTGCATCTATCTTCCAAGTTCTGGGATTAAAGGCATGTTCCACCACTGCCTGGCTATGTTTCTTTCATTTTAAAAATTCATTTTTAACCCTTCAGCTCACCACAGTAATTTCATTTTTTGATTTTTTTTTCTGTCTTCTCTCCTCTTAAAATCTGGCATTTCTCCTAAAGCTGTCTTTATATTCCTTCTCCTCGTTTATCTCTCTCTAGGCCATCTCTCTGCTCTCCTAATTTAACTACAGACTCTTTGAAGACTAAGGCATTCATACCTCACATTTGCTCTTGGCCTTTGGGAATGCCACATCCAGTTTTCCACCTGCCCGCCCAACATTTTACAGACTAACTTTCCATCAGCTGTCCCAGTTCCGTCACACCCACCACAAGCTGAGCTTTCAGCCAGATGTGGTGGTGGCACACACACTTGGAATTCCAGTACTCAGGGAGCCAAGGCAGGAAGACCAGGCCAGCCTGGCTTACAGGGAGACCCTGTCTCAACAAGCCAAGCCAACCAACCTCCTAGAGACCTGAGATGTGAATTCCTTTCCCACTTTCTCCCCTTCACGCTTGCCCGATCCCAGTTATAAACAGCATCCTCTTCCTCCCAGTCATTCGGAGAGAAAACCTCCAGTTAGGCTGCCCACAGACCTTCCTCTGCAACCCATCTGATGAAACGTCCCTCAGGGGCCAGCTTAGCTTCGTGTTCCCATCTTCACCTTCCCACAACCTTGCCTCTAGTTCAATAGCTCACCCCCCTTAGATCTGAGCAATTTGGAAAGCAGTCCCCATGAGGTCCCCATTGCCTTCACAGTCTTCTGCTGCGCAACTCACTTTAAACACAAGTCAAAACCATGGCTATATTAGTTTCCTGGGCGGGCGATAATAAATCTTCACATAGTGACTGACTGCTTTAGATGACACAGGCTTACCATCTGATTCCCCTGGAGGTCAAACTTCTTAAAATCAAGGTGTTGTTAGGGCTATGTTCATATGGATGCTCCAGGAGAGAATCTGCGTTCTTGCCTTCCACACTGCCTCAAGACACTGTTCCTTGGCTCCTGGATCCCTTTTCACTCTCAGAGGCAATAGAAGAGCACTTCCAGCCTGACTCTGATCCTCTTGCACCATATGTATAAGGACTTGTAAAATTTAGACCCCATGGCCAATCTAGGGTTCTGCCCTCATCTCCTGATAACTAACTAAATCACCCCTTTGCCACGTGAGATAACATATCCTAGGTTCTAGGAGCTGGCAGGTGAAATCACGGGTTGGGTGGAATGTTATTCTATCTACCACAGTAGTTATTCCTCTGCAAATTCTGTGTGCAGAGGATGGAGGTGGAGGTCAGTGGTAGAGCAGCTGCCCAGCACTGAAAAGCCGTGTGTTCAATTCCCACCAAGGGGAGAAGACTTCTGTGTGTAACCCCAGAATGAACAACTAGATCATGGCTCCAGAAGACAGTTTAGGGTCCCTTCGGGAATGAACCGTGTGACTTATTTTTCAAATTCATCTCTTAGATGTATCAAATTAGCACAAGACAGGGCATGTCCATGCACCTTCTCCTCTGGTCTAAGAATTACTTACAGATGGCAGTGGAGTTGAAAACTATCATGTAAGTGTGCAACTGACATTTTCAGAATCAACTGACTGGCCATTCCCAGATTCCATGCTCAGCCATCACCATGGGTGAGAACCTTCCTCATGTATTAAGTTCTATCTCTGTAGCTTGCTCACCTTTGCCCAAGCTTATCTTTTCAGTGACAGTTTGCTTGAATACTCCACTTGGCTAATTACCTCCTGAATATATATATAGTTTGTAGGCAATAAAACATTTTTCTGTAATGTTCCATTGCGCTGTTTCGTTTCATCTAAGGACAGTGGTCCTCAACCTTCCTAGTGGTGTGAGTCTTTAATACAGTTCCTCATGTGGTGGTGACCCCCCAACCATCAAATTATTTCCATTGCTACTTCATAACTATAATTTGCTACTGTTATGAATTGTAATGCAAATATTTTTGGAGACAGGGGTTTGGCTGAGGGGTCACGACCCACAGGTTGAGAACCACTGATTTAGCACTATTATGAAGTCCTGACATGCAGGGGGACTGTCATCTAGCTGTTCTCACAGGAAAGCACAGTATGGGGCATATCATACATATTATATTCATGCCTGTGGATTGTATCATCTATAGTGATTTTTTTTAAATGACCCCAAGTTCTATAACTACAAAGATCATGTAGCATCAAACATTTCATTTTATTATCCAAACCACAGGTAGGACTTGGTAACAAATCATATGATGATATTTCTTTTTAATTATAGGCACGAAAAATGTTTCAGAGAACTCAGGACAGCCAACCTTAAGTATTAAGACCTTCAATGGAGCTCCCTCCAATACCTTTGAGGAGTTCCCGCTTTCTGACATAGAGGACTGGACAGGAGCCACCACGACTGTAAAAATGAAATGTCCTGAAGAAAGCATCTCAACTCTCCATGTGAACAACGCTACCATGGGATACCTGAGAAGCTCCTTAAGTACCAAACTGATACCTTCCATCTACATCCTGGTGTTTGTGGTCGGTGTACCAGCGAACGTTGTGACCCTGTGGAAACTCTCCTCGAGGACCAAATCCATCTGTCTGGTCATCTTTCACACCAACCTGGCCATCGCAGATCTCCTCTTCTGTGTCACACTGCCATTTAAGATTGCCTACCACCTCAATGGGAACAACTGGGTCTTTGGAGAGGTCATGTGCCGCATCACCACACTCATCTTCTACGGCAACATGTACTGTTCCATTCTCATCCTCACCTGCATGGGCATCAACCGGTACCTGGCCACTGTCCATCCTTTCACATACCGGAAGCTGCCCAAGCGCAACTTCAGTCTGCTCATGTGTGGCCTGGTGTGGGTAATGGTCTTCTTATATATGCTGCCTTTCGCCATCCTGAGGCAGGAGTATCATCTTGTCCAGCCAGAGATCACCACCTGCCATGATGTCCACAACACATGCGAGTCTCCATCTCCCTTCCAATTCTACTACTTCACCTCCTTAGCGTTCTTTGGATTCCTCATTCCGTTTGTGGTCATTGTCTACTGTTACACAACTCTCATCCGCAAGCTTAACGCGCAGGACCGCAGGTGGATGAGGTATATCAAGGCGGTTCTCCTCATCCTTGGGATTTTCACAATCTGCTTTGCTCCTACCAACATTATCCTCATAATCCACCACGCCAACTACTACTACAACAACACCGACAGCTTGTACTTTATGTATCTCATCGCTTTGTGCCTGGGGAGCCTGAATAGTTGCCTAGATCCATTCCTTTACTTTGTCATGTCAAAAATTGTAGATCAGCTTACTTCTTAGCCAACGTTGGCAAGAGCCTCTTAGAGAACAAGGAAAGATATTACTGAAAGTGTACCTGCTGGAGCCGACTTGTGCATGGCAGCAACAGTCCAATTTTTTTTGTTTGTTTTTTGTTTTGTTTTGTTTGTTTGAGACAGGGTCTCACTGTGTAGTCCTGGCTAGCCCAGAACTCACAGAGATCTGCCTGCCTCTGCCTCTCAAGTTTTGGGATGCACAACCAGGGCTGGTGAGAGCTCCATTTTTAAGCTCCTTTGAAATAATGCTTCAAACATCAAATGTCATAAAATTATTAGGATCAAAAAATACTTTGTCAGTATTTTAAGAATGTCTTAATCTTAAGTAAAATGATCATTATTCTCCTTATGACAACTGACACATTTCTAGTTGCCTTCCTGATTCTCCAGGCTTTAAATATTCCCTCCCCTCCTGTGAGTGGCATTGGCATCCTGGGAATTCAGCATTACTGGCGGCTCTTTGAGCAGCTATCCTGTCATGGTTGCATCCCTCACCAGGGCCCTGTCTTCGTCCCACGTCTGCCTTAAAATGTCCTCATTGCCAGCTGAGCGGCAACAGATCAGGCCAACCCTCCCTGAGAATCTTTCTGAATACATCGCGCAAACCCTTCCCTGGACCCCGCACTGCTCCTGAAATGACAAACCCGAGGGTGGCTTTCATTACCAGCTGCCTAACAAGACCTGTGAAGCCACACCTACCATCAAGTTCACCACCAACCTGCCCTCCCTCCCCTTTCCTACTGCCCCCTCCCCGCCCCCAGGGAAGCTCTTCCTGGCATCTTTGCTTTACTCTGTCCTGCCTTTCAAGTCTTTAAGGATTGTTCTTCCCTTGTTCTCAAACTAGAAGTGTCATTTTCCTCATTTGGATTCCTTTTTTGTTTTTGTTTGTTTTTCAAGACAGGGTTTCTCCGTGTAGTTTCGGTGCCTGTCCTGGATCTCACTCTGTAGACTAGGCTGGCCTCGAACTCACAGAGATCTGCCTGCCTCTGCCTCCGGAGTGCTGGGATTAAAGGTGTGCACCACTGCTGCCCAACCTTCATCTGGATTTCTAAACCATTTTCTTATAATTATGGCACTTCCACACACTCAAGCCTGCTAAGCTCATTTGCATATGGACATTAGTTCCAATAAGCGATTAAGTTTTCCATGTAGTAAGATCTCTGTACCTGCAAGTTTTACACCTGCAGATTCAAACAAGCACAGACCAAAAACACTTGAAAAAATTATATAAGCTGAACATGAACAGACTTTTTTCTTTTCATTATTCCCTAACCAATACAGCACCTTTATACAGCATTTATTCTGTATTACTCTTATACCGCATCTATACTGTATTAAGTATTGCTAAGTGATCCAGAAGTGATGTGGAGTATCTGTACAAATACAAATACAGTATTGACAGTATTCCAAATTCCTACAGGGATTTGGAATCTGTGGCACTTAGTGTCTGCAGAGGTCCTGGAAGCCACCCAGGAGGGATGATGGAGAAGGTGGTGTCTGTCCTCCCTCCTTTGAGGCTCTTGTGGTCATTCCAGGGCCACGCCCTGTGAGGTCAACTCCATTCTTTGTATAGCATGTAGCTGAATGAAAGACTAAAACCCCAAAGCATTTAAACAGCACGGAGACCTATTCAGTCCTTACTGACAAGCCAGTATACCCCATATGACATAAGATGACATCATTTCTGATTAGGCTTGTTTAAAAAAAATAGAAGGAAGTTCAATATACTCAGAAGGTCATTTAGCAATTTAAATAATGCCTCCAGCTCCTTCCACCTCAAATGGGAAATGGTATGGTATTATAAATCTCCAGATTATTCCTGCAGATAAGCCATTTCTCTTCCCTGAGGGATCCAATGGGAGATGGGACATCAGTGGCTAACGGGGGACTGTTACTAGTGACTACAAATGGAGTTGAGGGAACCTCAGAGCATGCAGCATTGCTGGGTTGAAATTGTCAGTAAATATAGACATGCGCCTGACGAAACCTTGTTATAATCAATGAAACAATAAAAACACATTCTAAGTGTGCATTGTTGAGTGTATATATGGTTTTCTGTTTCATCAAACTGGAACATAAAACTTGGACACCCATTTACCCGAAGGCCTCAGGTCCACACCTCACAGAGACACTTGCTGGTCCATGTTTCCTACAGCACCATTCACGTTGGCTAAATAAAGAACTTGGTGGGAGCCCAGCAAGAGAGGAGTGGGTGAGGCAAACTCTCCAGAAAGCTTCCCTGTCCAGCAAGCATTTTCAGCCTGAAAGGAGGAAGTCAGGCCATTTACAGGAAAATGAGCACACCTGGAGAGCATCGCGTTAAGAAATTAGGCCATCTCAGAAAAACAATGACTGTATTCTCTCCTCTCTCTCTCTCTCTCTCTCTCTCTCTCTCTCTCTCTCTCTCTCTCTCTCTCTCTCTGCTGCCTGGTTTTTATACAAAGAAACAAAATCGTGTATGTGTATATATAAAACGACAGCGGTGCGCTGTCTAAGGAGGACAAAGGGGGAGGAGAGGGTCAAGAGAAGCAGCAGTGGTAGCAGGTGTGAGGGGCGCTATGTTCAATGAACAACAGACACTTGTACGAAAGCATTAGAGAAAAAGACTTCACATGGCTATATAAAAAATAAGTCAGGGTCGACAAGATAGCTCACTGGTGACACTTGCTACCACACGTGACAACCTGAGTGATCTCCTTCACCCACACCATGGAAGAAGGGATGACACCCGCAACTTATCCCCTGGCCTCTCCACGGAGTCTGTCACTCGCTCTCACACAAATAAAATACATAAATAAATGTAACAAAGTAAAAGTCAGATAAACCTTAATTAAGACAACCAATTCAATTAAACCTAAAGCAAGTTTTAAGAGTCGAAACAGTTCAGTAAAAGGAACTCATTTTGAAAGCCAAGCCATGAATCGCAGTAGTTTGTCCTGGTGGAAACAGCAATATTTACTAGTTAAAAGCACACATAAATCCAGCATGGTGGCGCACACCTTTAATCCCAGCACTTAGGAGGCAGAGGCAGACAGATCTCTTTGTGAGTTGGAGGCCAGTTTGGTCTGAGTGAGTTCCAGGACAGCCAGAGCTGTGTCTCTGAAGCACATAAAACAAACAAACAAATCCAAACCAAACCAACCAAACAAACAAGAAAACCAAAACACCACCACCACCACCACCACCACCACCACCACCACCACCACCACCACCACCACCACCACCAGGTATTAGGTTTCAAACCCAGGACAAGTGGCTGAGGTACCTACTTAACAAAGTGGTCCTGGCCTTCAGGTTCTCCATGCATCCATCAGTCTCTGCCTGGTACAGGACCCTCCTGGCTGGCACACCCCATCCCTACCCTAAAATCCTCCTGCCCAGGGGCTGGGCTGCCCTTCCCTATATAATTCAACCTTTCTGGTTACTTGGTCTTTTAGTCTACTCTGTGGCTCTGGCTGTTGTACCTGGTCCCCCCTCTCCTTTCCCCTCTCCTCACATGCACCACTCAGTCTGGTATGTTCACTCTGGATTCTCCCAGAAGTCCCTGCTCTGACTATGCTCTCCCATATATCTGTCATAAACTTTTGCTGTGGATATCACTCTGTATAAATAAACACTGATTGGCCAGTGGCCAGGCAGGAAGTATAGGCGGGACTAACAGACAGGAGAAAAGAGAAAACAGGAAGGCAGAGGAGACTGCCTAGAGCCTCTGCCAGGACAAGGAAGATGTAAAGTACTAGTAAGCCACGAGCCGCTTCGCAAAGTAAAGATTAATAAAAATGGGCTAAATATAAGAGTAAGAGCTAGACAATGATAGGCCTGAGCTAATGGCCAAGCAGTTTAAATAATATAAGCATCTGTATGTTTATTTTATAAGTGGGCTAAGGGACTGCCAGGGATTGGCGGGACCCAGAGAGAAAACTCCAGCTACAAACTTTCTCCTCCACCACACCTAGGAGCAGTCATGTCCTTCCTTTTCATTTCTTTTCTTTTTTTCCCATTTATCTGGTGCCCAAACCTGGGACCAGGCATGTCCTTTCCTTTTTATTTCTTTTTCTTCATTCAAAAAGGCACATTTAATTTTATTTGGTGTAACCAAACAAGAACAAACGCAAACTTTAATGGGGGTATAATCCAAGTGTCAATTTTAAATTGCTCTTGATCCACTTTCTACAGTGGGTAGAAGTAGAAAATGTGCTCTGCTAAGTATATGCTACCATGTTACCCAACCTCACCACAAAGAGAACTTGGTGCTTACACAGGTCACCGGAAACCTCTCTAGCCACTCCAGTGTCCTCACTCGTGGACCTTAGCATCCATTCAGTGATGCTGCCATTCACTCTATCCTTTAATGGCTGGATGCTCTGGAACCACCTTCACTTCACACTGTAATGCCAGCAATATCTTTCCATTCCTATTATTTCCCGAGGCTAGACTGCAGGAAGGCAAGACATAGAAATGCCACCAAGCACATACACTGGGATTTTCTAAGAACCTAGCAGAGATAAACAAAAAACAAAGAACAAAACAAAACAAAACAAAAAACAAAAATAAATACACAAAGACTCAGCTGAAGGCTGAAGGAACAGAAGCAGACTTTTTTCTTCCTTCCTTCCTTCCTTCCTTCCTTCCTTCCTTCCTTCCTTCCTTCCTCCCTCCCTCCCTCCCTCCCTCCCTCCCTCCCTCCCTCCCTCCTTCCTTCCTTCCTTTCTTTTTGTGAAAAAGACCAGGTTGAGAAAAAAATAAAAATTATGGACTGGCTGGGGACACAGCTTAGTGGAAGGGCATAGTAGGTGTAGAGTCCTAAGTCTGATCCCCAGCACTTCAATAAACAAAGACCAAATGAACTCCAAAACCAAACCTTTTAGCAACAACAATTTACCCACATGTGGCACACTGCTCAGACTGGCGGTGTCTTAAATTTGTCAACAGTGGTCAAGGTGACTCCTGCCCTTGACCTGTTGCACAGAATAAGAGGAGTTGGATTCCTAAGCTTGCACGTAGGCCCCTCATTTCTGTGTTCAGTGTTCTAACCACACTGATAATAGTGCTACTTCTGTATAAAGGCTGCCTGCCTAGCATACTGCTGCCAACATGTGGGTTCTTAAGAGAAGACTTATTGTCTGAAGGATCCTAGAGTTAAAGCCTGATGGTAGAATGTTCTGGAGGAGACCCACTCTACCTGCCAGGAAAGGCTTTGGCTTTGTGCAGTTGGCTTACCTCAAAGAGAGGAATTAGATGTGAGGGCAGAGGGCACAGGCCTCAAAAGGACCTCCTGACACAGTGTTACCACCCTCAACATGTGAGGCAGACCCAAGTGGCTTCGATAGTACTAGTTAAGTGGGATTATTATTTTTTTTTTGGTCCTAGGTTTCACATTAAATGCTATTGTTCACACACACACACACACACACACACACACACACACACACACACGTATGCACATGCACACATACACACATGCATGTACCCTACATATGTGAATAATGCCATCAATATATTAAAAACAATTATATATTATAATTCTTATCTAACCCTCATTACAATCCTATATAACAAGTGTTTTTAAAATTTAATTAATTAATAAAGTTATTTTTTTGAGACAGGATCTCACTATGTAGCCCTGGCTGTCCTGGGACTCACTATGAAGACCAGGCTGGCCTTAAACCACAGAGATCTACCTGCTTCTGCCTCCTGAATGCTGCAATTAAAGGCATGTGCCACCATGCCCAGCCACAACAGGTATTCTTTTTTTTTTTTTGGTTTTTCGAGACAGGGTTTCTCTGTGTAGCTTTGCGCCTTTTCCTGGAGCTCACTTGGTAGCCCAGGCTGGCCTCGAACTCACAGAGATCCGCCTGGCTCTGCCTCCCGAGTGCTGGGATTAAAGGCGTGCGCCACCAACGCCCGGCTCACAACAGGTATTCTTATTTTACCTTTCACATGTGAAAATATAGAGAGATGTTGTGGCTTTACTCGGGTCACATAGTCAGAATCTACAGCAAAAACAAGTTTCTCTGTCAAAGTGATGCACTGTGGACACAGCCACCTCCACAGGAACAGGGAGGACTAGGCTCACTTTTCTTCTGCATGTGGACACACTGACTTGGGTTGCATCTGTGGTGGCTGGATCCCCCCCCCCCAACCCCCATAGGCTCATATATCTGAATGCTGGGTCTTGAGTTGGTGGAACTATATGGGAAGGATTAGAAGGTGTGGCCTTGTTGGAGGAGGTATGTCACGGGGCGGGGTGGGGGGGTGGACTTTGAAGCTTCAACAGCCCACATGAGGCCCAGTCTTGCTCTCTCTCTGCTCCCAATTTGTGGACACAGTGTAAGCTCTCAGCTACTGCTCTGGCACCTGCCTTTGGTCATACTCCCTGCCATGATGATCATGGACTTACCCTCTGGAACTGTGAGCCCCAAATTAAACATTTTTTCCCTAAGTTGCCTTAGTCATGGTGTTTTGTCACGGCACTAGAACATTAAGACAGAGTGTTTACCTTGCCATTTACTGGCTGTATCACCCTGAGCCCCAGCTTCCTCTTTTCAGATGAGGCAGCATCCACCAGCTGCTAAAGCTTAGCCGAGCAAGAGTTTTGTAAGAGTGGTTCCTGAGAAAGCACAGCAGCGAAGCCACCTGCTGCCAGTGCTCACAGCTGTCCTGGCTGAGCCGCCTGCTGCCAGTGCTCACAGCTGTCCTGGCTGAGCCGCCTGCTGCCAGTGCTCACATCTGTCCTGGCTGAGCCACCTGCTGCCAGTGCTCACAGCTGTCCTGGCTGAGCCACCTGCTGCCAGTGCTCACA